CATCAATTAGTGGAGTTACATCTGGAAAGCCCTTTTCTGCAGAAATCCAGCCTGTTTTGGGACACGGAGTAGACCAAAAACACACATGGCAGGAGATACCAATACAGCATCGTGCTTTCTGGGTTGAGAAAGGGCAATTTGGCCGATGACATCAGCGTTGGTAATCAAGGCCTTATACACTCAGATACATCAAGCCTCATACAAAACCAGTCCAAGACTGCCTCTTTCAGCCCCACCACACTTCCCCAGCATCTCAGTCCCATAGCATCTCAGACATAGAAGCCAGCTGGGATCAAGATTCTGAAGCAAGAAAGAGGCAATGGCTGGAGAGCAGCCGGGCATCATGACACTGGGATGACATTCCTGAGCAATGGTCTGATGCTCCTGGATCAATTGTGGCTCTGTCTTGTGTGGGTAGGTGTGGTATTTGGAGGGAAAGGGCTACATGAGTTTGTCCCATGTCTCCAAGTCTATCACCTGACGTGATATTGAGGCTGGTTTCTCAGCCAGCCAGCATGCTTTGTAATACCATGAAACCAAATTGCACAGTGAGGACACCTAAATCATGTGTGTGTTTTCTTAGCCTCAGATACTCGTGACATAAAATTAGTCAGTGATTATTTTTCAAGGCAGGTTTTCCACTTCGTCTTCCAACTGGCTGCTCTCCTAAGCCTGTGATACTCTCCAAGAAGGACAGTACAGGATGACCTTCCAATATAGGTCACAGAAAAGGGAGCTTGTAGGAAACTTCAGCAGCTCATCCCTCTTAGACCTGCCTCTTGCGGTAATCTGCTGGCAGCAAAGCTGGCAATGCTGCATAGCCGGTCCCTGCTGCCCTTTGGCTGCAGGCTGGGTTTTCTGTGTGTACTTATCACCCTGACCTGCCTGCCTCTGCGGGAGGTGACAAAAGCATGAGTAAGAAATCCGCTTATTAGGTCATTTTTGAATATAGCTAAGACTCATGTGATTCCAGCTACTAACTCATTTTGTATGCTGGTCATACACGTCTGAATGTGGCTCGTTTTTCTCAGGTCCACTCTATCAAATAAGAATATTATCAGGCCAGTTGCATTTGTAAAGCTTGGGGTGAAATGCAAAGAGCAGGTCTTCACGGCTGGCACTATTAACCATGCTTCAGGCTGCAGGTTTGGGCTGAATCAGATGCCTCTGAACTCTCGGGAAACTTGGCTTTGCTTTCAGTGTTGTAGGTTCCTCCCTAGGAGTGAGTAAGCTGACCAAGGTATGTTTGTGGTATAGGAAGGTACCCATCCTTGCTAGCACAGGGACTAGAATGACTGTTCAAGTGTTTCCCTACACTAGGAAGCCACCTGATGTTAAATTTAAAAGTATAAAGAGGTTCTTCAAAACAGGGAGAGACAGATTCTTTTCCATCCAGCCTCAGAACTAACTTTGGATTTAACTTTGGAATTTGAATCTTGGTGATACCTGAGCTAGACAGAGGCCTTCCATTTGAAAGGTCTTCCTGAGATATCCGTCTCCCACAGTGCTGTTCCACTTTATGTAATAATAAGCTCTTTTTCTTGTCTCTCTGAGACCACAGTTTAGAGCTTAAGACACTAACCCAAGGTGCAAGAGGGGAGGTTCAAATCCCTCTCTGAATGAAGCAGAAGAGGGAATTGACCTTGGGTCACCCACATCCCAGATTAACACTTTATCACTGTATCTGTCACTGGCTGTTCTGCTGCCTCACTCATACTTTTAAGTTTGACTGGAGATTCCTGAGTTTCAGGGAATCTTCCCAAAATGAGTTTCACCCAGTTTCTGAGTCTCATAAATCAGTTTTCCCCTACAGTTCTCAAGTGTGAACATTCAGGTACAGTAAGAGCCCAGTTCGCTGCATATTGCAGTCAGAAGGAAGACTGCTGTAGCATCCCTCACCCAGTGTACAACACCGGAGATGGGCAGGAGCAGCTTTGCCCTTCATGAGTTTCCATGTTTATGACATTTTCGCCTCCTTGAGACTTCTGCTATGTCTTGTTGATGGAATGAGTTCCAGTGGATCCAAACCAACATGCCTGAATAATTCCAGTTATTTATTTCAGTCTTGCTCCTCTGCCACATTATCTGTTTCGTAGTTCAGCATTATTTGTCCTGATCTCTTCCCCCCAGATGTCTTTTTCTGGGTTTGGTGGGTTACTCCGCAGGTTGGCGATTTGGCAGGATAACAACTGAAGAAGTATCTTCAAAGGATCAAACAGATTCAGGACAATTTTACTTACATCAAAAGCTTGGCAGCACGTCAAGAGGTGTTGAGAACACCAGTCACTCCTTGTGTGTAGGCAGGAGGAGTGCACATAGGCTGACATACTGTAACATGAGGCAGGAGGCAAGAGAGGATATACTGCTCTTTGTACATCAAGCTGAGTAGGATTAAGATATAATTGACAGAACATTGCCACTTAAACATCTTAACCGCTTTTTAGATATTCAGCAGTTAACAATGGGCAGGAATCCTACATCCCTGACCACAGGTTTCCTTTCTTCTGCATTACTCAATAAATATATTTCTCCAATTTTGCTAAGGGACTTACCAAGTTCTCTGTCAGAGAGCATCCGAGATTTAATTCATAGCACTACTGATATTTATGTGAATAAAAATGTGCAGGTGCCAGAAGATAATCAATTCAGTATTTTGACTGAAAGGAGACAATCTGTCGTATGCAAGCCATCATACAGAATGAGTGTATTTGTATTCCCTGCACTCAGTTTGCCAAGGTTGTGAAAATAAATTTGCTAAACACATGAGTTATTCACCTCCTCTGTAACACAGGCCAGCCTTGGTGGAGATTGGATGGTGCTTTTGCACTCATGGCACTGCATGAGAGCTGATGTTCCTACGGGTGATTGTGGTTTATGCCATTTCTCTATGGTTTGGGATGGAAGCTGACTGGGGCACCAGGGAAAGCCGTTGGGTTTCCAGCAATGGATGGAGTTTGAGAGGGAGGTGGGAAGGGGCAGTCAGCTGGAGTGAGCTGCTCAAGTAAGAGCATGGAGTGCTGCTGCCCTGACGATTTTCTTTTCCCCTCGAAGTGACAGCTGTACATACCTCCAGGGGAAACTGCACCGAAGTAACCACAAGGAGAAGGGAAAAGTCCACCAGGGTCGAGGGGGGACAAATCCATATGGTATCACAGCCTCCCCCCTTAAGGGACAGCAGCAAATGAGAGCAGAGCATGTGTTGGCATAAAATGCCCCATGCTGAAGAGCTGGGATGATTTTCCAAAATAGCAAGAAACTGGGGTGAGGATGGGGTTAAACACACATTCTTCTTGCACAAGGACTGCACACGTGTTTATGCACTAAATGCTGCTTAAGCACAAACCAGCTTCTAAAGAGCAGTTCTGCTATTTGTACATTTTCTTTTGTTTGGGGGGGGGTGATGGTGGTGCTCATGTATAAACTAAGTTTTTCCTCTGCTACAGAGATTACAGGAAGAAATTTCCTGTCGTTTGCTCATGAAACCTTTTTCATATGGGTTTTAGACTTGGGTGTTTAGAGGGGTTCAGGTATTTCCACTTCTCTTGATTTTGTGGGGTTTTTATACACCGTTGTGGAATAGTTCTTTATTGAGGTGAACTTTCTCCCAGCCTTTACCTGACCTATCTCTGAAAATCAAACTTTACACGCTTCAGTATGCTTTAACTAGAAGTGCGTAGCTCTTCACCTTAAATCCAGCTGGTGTATGGGGCTGTGCCATCTGTAGAGCAGAGAATTAGCCTTGGAAGAGCCATTCTTTGCTGCACCATCACCTGTAGGTGCCTGAAGTCCCTCAGGTGCACATGGTGTGATGCATAGCTAGGAAGGGTGGCTCTGAGTTGAGTGTTTGTGCAGGAGAGGTCAAGCTGTTACTGGAGGAAGAAAAAGCTTCACGTCTGGGCACTGCAGAGGTGTAAGGCCCCCAGCATCACCAGGGTTGCAGAACAAGGCTCAGGACACTCTCCTGCTCCCTTGACCCATGTAGAGACCTTGTAGGTGCCCATGCCGCGGTGGCAGCTTGAGGTGGGAGCTGCTGAAGAGGTGGAGGTTTAGCCTTTTGGTGATTTCCATTTCTCCTAAGAGTACTGGGAACAGAGTTGATGCTGCTCTGTAGTACTGGTATAGGCAACTGGGGTGATAAGGACAAAGTGGTATGTCGTTTACACAGGTAGATGGGTGGTCTTAATGAAAACAGAAAACATCAAACCCACAACAAAACACAAACAGCTTTTCAATTCAATGTTGCCTTCTCCAGCCATAGCTTTGCTGTCAGCATCCCTTGAGGGCTCATTTGACCCCAGGCCTACTTGCTTTCCTGATTTTGTATGGAAGCTGAAAGGTGAATTAGTGGCCCTAATTCCACTGCTTGTGCTCTGTGTGACAGATCACATAAGTCTTGCCTCAGCTCCTAGGTTTAATTATCTGTAATTTTGATTTATACCATTATTTGCATCAGATCAGCTCCTCCTAGGGAACAGCAACCTGTAAGCATAAACAAAGAGGCTTTTGCCAGCTATTAATGAAATGCTGATTAATCTCCTATTGCTTTGGTAGCCTGCCAAAAAGCACATAAAGTTACAAACTAAACTGTTCGTTAAACTGGCCAGGCTGTAAGTGCCAGGATGTGGATGCCAAATGTATGCTGAGTGTGTTTCAGATGCATGGTGTCTCCAGGAGCAAATGCAGACCCTTGTTATTGTACTGCTGCACTGCAGGAGACCTGCTTAATCATCAGAATCATATCAGAGAATCCCAGACTCATTCGGGTTGGAAGAGACCTTAAAGCTCATCCAGTTCTAGCCACTGCCATGGGCAGGGACACCTCACACTAGAGCAGCTTGGTCCAAGCCCCATCCAACCTGGCCTTGAACACTGCCAGGGATGGGGCAGCCACAGCTTCTCTGGGCACCCTGTGCCAGTGCCTTAGCACCCTCACACTAAAGAATTTCTTTCGAATACCTAATCTAAATATACCCTCATCATCCCTTTCCTTTCCTTTGCAGATGATGCCAGCTCAGGAAAGGACAGCCAGGTACCCGATGGCTCCAATGGAGAATATGAAGATCATTCAGGGAAGCAATGGGGTAAGGAGCAGTGTATGGTTTTGTGTTTTCCTTGGCTCTTGGTTGAGTGCTGTTCACGTGGCACATTTCTCAGTTGCTGAAGGAAGGGAAAAGCAGAGTGACTGGAGCGAGTTCTCCCCAAAGATGGTCAAATAATAAACAGAGCGTTAGCTGAACATGGTGTGATCCCATCCAAGGGTCTTTCTACAAAAGGCAGCCCATGATCCACTCTAGGGCCCCCTGCCATATACCCCAGCATGGTTCTCCTTTGCATTTGTTTTTCTGGGCAGGGACTTTCTGTTGCATGTGCAGCTATTACAGCTTTCATAGACTCTCTATAAAAGGCATATTGACTTTTACAGCAATAATTCCAAAAGCCTTCAGTGCCAACACAACAGTGCTCCCCACTGAGGGAAAAGGGGAGGTCTGACTTCACTTCAGGAGAATTAATGTTAGGCCAAAGCTGAGTATTTCTTAAAATTACCTTCTCTTTTAGACACCTGCATGAACTTCTCTAAACCCTGGGCTTTTTAAGAATAGGATTTTGATGCTGTTGCTGAGCTTTGGGGAACTGCTGAAATCTCACTTGGAAGAGGTTCTGAATCACCGCAAGACTTGCAGGTCCAGTGTTTGGTCCAAGCACTCCTGGAAGGACAATAAGTTGTCAGGCTGATGCCAAACAGCTTTTGGCCATTACTGAGAGGAGTACAATGTGAGTTTATGACCTCGAGAGATGAAGCACGGCGTTTCCATTCTGCTCTCGCAGTACATCCCTCCTTTCAATTTTGTAATATGGAGGTGGTTTTGTACTACATTTGTGGCCAGGGAGTAACCTCATAGCAGTGATGGGGGGTGGAACCTGTGAAGTTTTCACTGTATGAGTCCCCATCACTTGAGCTGAGGCCAGTTTTCTTCAGAGGCTGGAAAACAAGGGATGTTGTGTGCTGTGGTATAGCCCAGACCACACTTGGAGGAGGCAGAGCCGTAATAGCTTTGAGTTAACAGATTCACCTGAGATTGAACATGCACCAGGAGAGGAAGGTAACCTCCACTTATTCTGGGAAAGGGTGACAACATTTTAGAGGTAGAGAAAGGATGGTTTAGATAAACTACAGGTCAGGAGTCTTTCAGGAGGGATTCAGCTGCTAGAATGAAAGGCTAACATCTCCCCACTCTTCATTATCTGAGTGGAGATAGAAGCAGATGTTGCATGCCACATCTGATGCACTCCTGGTAGAACTGGTGAATGATGGATCAATACCACAATTATGTTATGACAAAAGATGTAAGCACTACTAAAATTAGTGGGCAGTAACAATCTCATATCAGATTGTGTCTTAATCTGTGCCCTGGCTTAATCTGCCCAGGCTCAGTCCTTTGTGCTGCAGTGATCCTGCACCTCTGCTTTTTCCCTTTTTCCTCCCTCCTGTTCCCTCTCCCCAAGCAGAAAAATGCTGGAGCAGGCCACACACACAAGCCCTTTCTATCCAGCAGTGTTTTCCAGCAAACCACTCGTGTGAGCTGGTGTGCAGGGAGGGTCAGTGTGTGTGCCTGCAGGTCTGTGGAGCACAATAGGTGAAAGAAGTTTGTGTTTGCAGAGTCTTGGGCCTTAGAGAAGTGGGAGAGGAGAAGCATGATAAGAAAAAGCTCCACTTTGCTTTCCTGCTGCCACCATACAGTGGTATCACTGTGGTAGGAGGTCCTGCCCCCATCAACAGCAGGAAGTTGATGTGGGGAAAGATAGATACCCCCATCCACATCTTCCCACAACTGACTTGAAAGTATTTCTACACTCAGTTGTATCATGACACATTTTGTATAAGTCTCATGAAGGTGGTATTGACCATCACTGTGTAGAGGTAATTATGGCAGATTGCAGCACCCTACATGTTTCAGCCTCACTCTGTGTGACCAATGCTGACAGGAGCCTCTGGGACTAATCCATGCACCTCAAGGTGTCCCCCAGGGAGAGGAGACTGCTGATTTCCTTCCCCAGTCTTTGTGCTGACAGCCTTCTGTTTCACTTAATTTTCATTAGCTTGAATAAATCTTGATGGTAAACAGCATTTCATCAAGGAACCCGTACACAACACTGCCTCTTTGTCCCCATCCACTTGTGTTTTCCCTTGCTCTTGTGTGTGGCATAATTTATACTGTACAAATGTGTGGTTCATGTTTGTGAAGCAAACGCCAAGTGATGTGGAGGAGAACAAGCATGTGAAGTATAAATAACACAGAGGCACTTTGTAATGGCCTTCTCTGGCACTTCAACAAGCAAAACTTCTGTAAATGGCACAGATTTGGGGACACATTTACTAGCAGCCACTCAAAAGAGACTTTTTCTGCCTCTCTCACTGCTGCCTCTTCCTCTTTCTCCTTTGTGGTTGCTGGGTCTCTTTTTCTCTCTTGTGTGTGTGTGTCTCTCTTTCTCCTTTTGGGTTAACTGGCTTTTCTAAACTTGTGCAATTCAGGCTTTTGTCAAGGAAACATTCAGGCCTCTGTAAATGGGATCTGGTTTCAGCATATTGCACACAGCTTGGAGTAGCTTTTGAGCCCACATAATCACTTCACCTTCTTTTAACAGAAGAAGAAAGGAAGACAGAAAGAACCAAAGTAGTTTAGCTTTACCTGTAGTTTGATATGTATCTGGGCAACAGTGTACGAGGAGTGAATGCAAAACTCCAGACAGATTCATGGGAGTCACAGTGGCAGGAAAAGCAAATGTTACAGGCCTGGCTTTTTGGGAAGGAAAGAGAGTTTCTGTGTTACAACGCTCTTACTGAGCAGGGATACCAAGTCCTTCTGAAATATGGCTGTGGAAACAGGGAAGAGGTAAAGTGAGAGCTTAGAACCACTCATTTGACTCTTCACTCTGCAAAAGCAGTGTGACTGTCCTGTCTCCAACCTGCTCTTTGATATGCTAGTCCCATCCAAGGAATCCCATCTGGCACGGATCTACCCCAGCCTGGACCTGCAGTTCCTGATCTCAGAATAAATTACTGCCAAGTTAGAGGATAATTGTTTAGACCCATTTCCCGGCTGGTTCCTAATGTCTCCATGCACCTTGCAAGCATTTACTCCATTTCCACAATGACAGCCTTTATCAGCACATTTCCCTGAGCTCAGACTCCAACTTCGGCATGTCATTGCTCACAACATGCAGCTCTGACAGGGTTAATTGTCTCTATGGGAGGGTGATTGGTTTTACTGGGAGGGGGCCTCCTCTTGCAGCAGACCCCCAAGGGAATACCCAGCGATTTACGCAGCAGGACCTATGGAGTGGGTTAGTATGTCACACTTGCTGCTCAGCTGTCACGGCAAGGACTTTCAGTGCCGGAGTTGCTCCAGTTCATTAGATTACACATGAAAGCCTCTCTATGGAGAGTAAAGCATTTCTGAGCAAGAGTTTGAAATAACATTAAATGGCTGGGACCCAAAATGACAGCCAAGGGGACAAGGGAAGGCTGTGGAGACAGATGGTTTCCCCCTACAGAAAAGGATTCTGAAGGCAGGGGTATGCCAAAGGGTGTCTTCTTCCGAGAGGGAGGGATGTTGAGCAAGTCTGCAGGGGGGTGAGGGCTATGGGATATATTCACAGACCTCAGAGGGTAATGATTGCCATTCCTTAGTGCTTGGAGAGAGGAAGCTGCAAACCAGCCTCCTCCATCCAGCAAAGCTCCATTATAATGTACATCCCTGAGCTTCTGGCCCTCTGCCTTGGGCAGAAGCGCTGGCTCTCTAACAGAGTCCCACCGTGCCATCCTGTTGCTAACTTCTTTGTTACCTGAAGCAGAGCATTCTCAGCTTGCTTTCATGTTTTATTTGCCACTGAGGTTGTGGCTTTCCAGTTGCCATTGCTGAAGGCGGTGGCTGGTGGGCATAATTCAACCCAGTGTGCCACAGTGCAGGCCACTCTTTACCTATTTCTCTTATTTCCCTAGGAAAAGATCAGGGAGAATTTACAAGGGGAGTGCAAAAATGCAGGGGGAAAGTCCTTTGGGCCTGAAGGGTAACATCCTCGTAAGAAAAAATAGGGTTCAAAAGCAAGTGGAGAAATCTGTTGTAGAAATGGAGGAGAAACTGGCTTTGCTAAAATAAAAAGACAGGTGAATTTGGCAGGAGTAATTTGGATGTAGGGGGAGAGTGCCAAGTGGGAGTCAGAAGTGGTGTTAATCTCAGCAGGAGATTGCACATCTGTGCTCCTGGACTGGCACTGCATAACTGAAGTAACTGTGAGAAACGTGTAATGTCTTTTGAATTCTTTAGCACAGGATACTATTAGACAAGCTGTTGCCTTGCAACAGATCATGTTCTCTTGTTTCAACTGTCTTAAAAGTTTCTGCAAAGATCTTTTTCTTTCTATGGAATTTTTATTTGTAAGACCAACTCATGACTTCACAGGAAGATTCTCTGCAGTGTCAGTAAAGCTGCTAGTGTGTGAAAGTGCCACCTCTTTTCCCCCTGGAATTCTGGCATAATCTGATTTAATGTTGGGGCAGATTTTGCCAGGTGGGGACCTTTCATTTCTCTAGTGTTCTTGTTACTGCCATTGAAAGTACTGGTGATTTCCTTGCTAAGACAAGGTGACTATCTTAACCCATGATTCTGTCCACCAGCATCTATTGCTTCAGCTTCTCAATTTCTGGGATGGACTAGCATGGCGTACCTTCTAATGAACAAACTCAAGGGGGTTTTATTGACTTTTTATTGTTTGTTTGCTTCTTTTGAAGCCTTTCAGTGTGAATGCTTCATAAATTAATGCTGAATCAATTGCATACTTTTAAGTTCAGATCAACATACAAAAGTCTGGCATACTTCTAAGACTTACCTACATATTGAAATGATGTTGACTCTTCTTAAGTCTTATGAATGCCAGTGAGAACTAAGGGGCAAAACATCTTCAGAAAATGAAGCTTCAAGTGACCAGCAAAAGACTGAGAAAATGGTCAGCCTGACAGGAATCTGAGGTTTTTCCTTTGGTCTTGGCCAAGGGCTTGCATTTGTGGCATGGAACATGGTAACAATTATAATGTGATTATGGGGCCACATTTGGACTTCAGCTACAACAATGTGATTTTGGTGTTATTTTGTGAGATGGTTTGATGCTGTTGCCTTACAGACACTGAGAAATTTTAGGGTTGTGCTATGCAGAAAGCTAATGCTGCGGCCAGTGCAATAAGACATTTGATTGCATCAGGCTGAATGTCTCCTTTCTAAAGGAAATCAGTTTGAGCTGATATGAGCGATACACTGCTACGTGTCAAGCTGCCAAAGTCACTCTCAAGTGACTTTCACCATAACACTTGACAGCAGCATCCTTCTTTGCATGCCCTTTCCTCATCACAGTCAATATTTCATGCCTTTTACAGCCCGGCCCAGGTTCACGCAGCCTGCCAAGATGAGACGGAGAGTGATCGCCCGTCCCGTCGGCAGCTCCATCCGCCTGAAGTGTGTGGCTAGTGGGAACCCACGGCCAGACATCACATGGCTAAAGGACAATAAGCCTCTCACACCCCAAGAGATTGGGGAGAACAAGAAGAAGAAGTGGACACTAAACCTGAAGAACCTGAAGCCAGAGGACAGTGGGAAATACACATGCCGAGTGTTTAACAAAGTCGGAGAAATCAATGCAACGTACAAAGTTGAAGTAATCCGTAAGTGCAGCCTGTAGGGTGGAAAGCCAGGGAGGGAGCTTTGGGAAGGGCTTGGCTGGGTAAAGAAAGTGCGATGGCAAGTGTGCAGTGCTGATAGCTGGACACAGAAATGGGGAAGTGTTAAAGCATCATCAGAGACAGCGAAAACATCACTGAAAGTCTAGAATAAACCTAACACCTAGTCAACACAGAGCAACAACAATGCAATGTAGATGAAATAAGGAGAGATACTTAGAAAACAGTCATCTCTAAGGGCAGCTGTGTGGTAAAAGTTAAGTATTGTGTGGTGCAGTCTTACACTACCAAAACAGTCAATTTAAGGGGAGATGGAGAAATAACTGAGAAAGCCCTTTCACGTACCATGGCAGGTATGTATGTGTGTGTAAATGTTTAGGATGGCCCAGACTGATCCATCAGAGTGGTTATAGGGTGAAACCCAACAATTGTCTTGACCAATTCAAAGCCTACCAAAGTCAGGTTGGACAGGGCTTGGAGCAAAGTGCTCAGTAGAAGGTGTCCCTGCCCAGCACAGGGGGTTGGAACTGGATGAGCTTTAAGGTCCCTTCCAATCCAAACCATTCTGTATGATTCTTTACCTGAAAATTTAGTCTAGATAGCTGTAATAAGAGGCCTGCTTCATTAGAGAAATACCCTAAGGGAATTAGTAAAAATATAGAGAGATTAGGCAGACAAGGCTTTAGGGCCAGATTTTCAAAAACAATTGGACATCTGAAGGTTCAGGTGGGTATAAATGAGATACTAAAAAAGAGAAGTCTCACTAATGTCCTATCTATGTCTTTAGATGCCTACAAAGCTTTAAAGATTCAAGCCTTAGAAGATGAGCTGTGGGGGATTACCCTGCATTGTGGTGGGGTAAACTGCCCTTCCTGCTATCTAGCTATCCTGATTCTTGCTCTCCAACCTCCTGTTTCCCCTGTTATTACGGAAGTTAATTACACTCAAATCCTACCAGAGAAGAGATCTTATTCTTAAATTATTGTGCTTTTTCTATGACATCATCATAAGTAGTCATGGAAATGTACAGAACAGCCAACTCAAGAAAGTGGAGAAGATGATCTGAGTGGAGGGAAGACTGAACAGCCTTCATTAATGATGAGTAAGGGCACGAGGAGCGATTTCCAGCCACATGGAAAGCATGTTGTTTGTCTGCCTGTGCATACATTTTAGCATGAGAAAGTTTATCCCAGTGTGAAAGACTGTTCTTAAAGGTAAAGATCCGTTCTCTGATAAGTCCTTTCTCTAGAATCGCAGGAATTAAAAGCACATGTGTGGAGCTCTGTTGGGCTCCGAAGGCACAAACCTGCTGGACATCTGGGATTGATAAAGATGCAGCTGTGTGGAGACAGTAAAAACATATGTTTACACTAAAAACAGGAGCAGAGACAGGGAAATGAATCAAGCCCCATCCTAATGGCAGCTGTGGCATTTTCACTTCATCAAAACCAGACAGCGCCAGGAACAAGCCCCTTTCTGTGTCCCTGTTTATCTTGGTTTTTATCAACTTAAAGATGTATGTAACCTTTGTTTTCATTAGCTTTTGCTGGCTAGGAGTGAAAACAGTAACCAAAGCTGGAAGCAGAGTCAAGGAGATAAGGGCATTAAGCAATTTTCAGACATCTTTCTATTTTTAACATCATTCTGTGCAGCATTACAGGTTTTATTCAATTTCCTCCTTTTCCCGCTGCCCTGAGCCTCCACTCCTGAGTCCTGCTTATCTGAGACTCAGTCTCCCCAGCTGTGATTCCACTCGTAGTCCCAAGGCAAAGCCTATAGAGACCACTGTGGTATTTTTGTTTCCCAAGCAGCCCTCATTATTGAAAGTATCCTGAGTTTTTGAAAGAGGGTCCATTGTTCCTTCCTCTCACCCCAAAGCCAGTGCTGGTGAGAGCTGTTTTGTTACACGCTCAATCCAACAGTGTTTGCTGTCAAAAGCAGTTGATGATTGCCAGCAGTTACCACCCACTGTGATACCATAATTTCTCTCTGTGCCTAGGATAGGGGTTTGCAGCACCTCCTTGTCTAGAAACTGTGACTGATTTCTCTGATGCTAACACAAAAAAAGTCCAAACATTCCTTAGAATGGGGGATAGATTTTTCCTTTGACTTTATGTGGTGTTGACACAACCTAAAGCTTAGAATCATGCTGGAAAGAATGGCCTTGTGAGCCTCTTGCGTTTGATTTCCTTTCCTACCATCTTGTTTCCTTGATCAGCTGAGGCAAAAGATTTGTGAGAAACATTTCTTATTGGTTAGAAAGACAAAAGCCTTTTGAGCTCTTCCTCCACAAAAATTTGCTCCAGAGTGAGTGTGGGGATGATTAGACTGAAGGAAGGAAAAACAAAAGCAGGGAGGTAAGGATGGAGTGAAGATATCCCTCACTGATACTGACTGCAGTTTCATCTCCCCCAGCAGTGGATGATATGGCATGGGATAACTTCAGTAGAGTTTTCTCACTGCAGGCTCAGCAACAGAGATGACAGGTATCTCCTGAAGGACTCCCAGACAAAAATCAGACAATATCCACAGCCTGCCGTTAGTCTGTGAAAGAAGCAGCTTTTTCCTATCCGATTTTGTCTGTCCTTAGGGAACATTGGGAAGACCAAAAGGAGAAGAAATATGTCTTACCCTGCCCCTCACTGTCCCCAGACTGGGGTAGCCACAGTGATTCTGGTGTGGACTGTTAATAGATAGGTACTTGTAAATAGTCTGGTAAAAGTCTGAGGTCCTGCCCAAGAATATGTAAGATTCTGTCATATTCACCTGTAAATTGCACCCTACCAGACATGGTGATAAGAGACAAAGCATCACACAATCACATGGTGCTGGAAGTGACCTCTGGGAGTTGTCTGGTGCATCCCCATTGCTCAAGCAGCACCACCTAGACCCAGTTGCCCAAGAGCATATCCAGATGGCTTTTGAATATCACCAAGAATGGAGATGCCACAATATTTCTGGGGCAACCTGTGCCAGTGCTTGCTCACCTTCAGAGTAAAAATGTGTTTCCTGATGTTCAAAGCATCCTCCTGTGTTTCTGTTCATGCCCATTGCCCTTGGTCCTGTCCCTGGGCACCACTGAAAAAAGGCTTCCTCTCCCTTACACCCACCTTTGAGATACTTAGAAACATTGATAAGACATCATCAGAGTCAATATCAAGTGAACATTTGCAGTGAAATAATCGTCTTCATTTGTGTTCAGACCTGTACTATTGCCCAAATATAATCCTGAAATAGGTTGTGACGTTTTGGCTTGTATCAGGCCATTTATCTTCCTCTGTTCAAGACTCGGGAAAGATCACTGCAGCTTCTGACCCTGTAGGTCAAAGTACATCATTAAGATCCCATTACTCTAGGATATGGTCCCTGAGACATGAGGATAAGTGGGAGTACAAGGAAAGATGGCCCTTTTTGTCATCTCATAGCTGAATCATACGAGCAAGGGAACGGGGAAATTCAGCAGTCCAGACTGGACTTGCCAAAGAGCAGAAAGGCCAGGTGTGACTTGTGTCTTGTCAAGTAATACCACCACAAACTGAGTACCCAGATCTAAATGCTTCTTGAGTGACCTGTGAGGGCAAAAAATACCACAAAGACAGAAAAATTCCTAGGACCCTTTTTGCTTAGGAGTTCAGTGTACATAAAAGGGCTGAAGAAAATCTTCCAAAATATAAGGGCTAAGATGGAGAGCAAACTTTTCTCCAGGTCTGATGCAGATAAAGAAAACAGGAAGATTCAAGTTGAGTGTGAGAAAAGACTTGCTAAGCCTCAGACAAAGAAACTGGACAGCATCTACCATTAGAGGCTTTGGCAGAGGCTGGGCACATTTATATCAGGATTGATTTGCAGAAATCTCAGCCTGTTTTAGTGTAGGGAATTGGACTAAGACAATTATTTTTGATCCTTTCCACACCTTTTTCCTATGTTCCGGCAATCACACATTGGCAAACATGGAGTTCCCTGTGTTTTTGTGCAGAGAGGACGAGGTCCAAGCCCATCCTGACAGGGACGCACCCCGTCAACACGACGGTGGACTACGGTGGGACCACGTCCTTCCAGTGTAAAGTCCGCAGCGATGTCAAACCCGTCATCCAGTGGCTGAAGAGGGTGGAGTACGGCACAGAGAGCAAGTACAACTCAACCATCGATGTTGGGGGACAGAAGTTTGTTGTGCTGCCCACGGGGGAGGTCTGGTCCCGGCCCGATGGCTCCTACCTGAATAAATTGATGATTACTCGAGCCAAGGAAGAAGATGCAGGGATGTACATTTGCCTAGGGGCAAACACCATGGGCTACAGCTTCCGCAGTGCTTTTCTCACAGTCCTGCCAGGTGAGTTATGCCTTTTTTTCCCCACATCTGAACCAATGGTCTGCATCATAGTATTAATACAACACTGATGCTTGTTGGGCTCCATGGCTCTCTGCTGATTTAGGCTGGCCCAATTCTGATAAGAATGAATGTGAGACTAAATCAACCCAGATTAAATTAGCTCCTGCTGAAATCCTCTGTAGGATGTTTTCTTTTCTCCCTTCATGTTGAATAATGATTCCAGCAAGGTGAAATAAAATGAATGATCTGTCCCTGTATGGAAAAGGAGCTGGGAAAGGATGCTGCAGTTGCAGGCACTACATCACTTTCGTGGTAGGGTGGAGGACATGAGAGCTACTGAATAGCAGTACAGCTTGCAACCCCATTCCTTTATATTTCTCCTTTCTCTTGCTCTTATTTATATTGCTTTTACTGGTAAAAGGAGACAATGATACAGGCCCATACAATGAGAGAAGAATAAAAACTGTCCCGGTCACAGGGAAAGGAAAATAGTAAGTGTGAAAGAGAGAATGATTGATTAGTGAAATTCTTGCTTAGTGATCTCCTGGAGACCCTTGCACCAGACTCACAGCTGCTTCCTTCTCTCCACAGGCCTCAGAGCTGGTGGCCATGTCCAACTGAGGCTGTTTTAAGGCACACCATCTTTTGCCATTTACTCCTGATTTTGAAGTTCTGCCCCGATAGTTTTTGTTGTTAAGGGCATTTCTTTCTACCTCATCTTGCTGTGTGAATCCAGCTTCAGATCCACTTGTTTTAGGACAAAAATCAATCTTACTGCCCTTTCTTCCCTTCATTTTAGATGTCAGGTCTAATGTAGTGTCTGCAGTCAAAGACACCAGTGAGAGACAGAAATCATTAATTCTCCTAGGTTGTTAGAGCTGGTTTTCTGTGTAGGTAGTGGGGAAAATGCTCTTGTAACTAAGGCAGCATGGCTTATTCTGCTCACTGATTGCCAAAGCTCTGCATTCAGGCAGCCTCCGAGAGTCACTAGCTTGAATTTAGATACTGACATCAGGTTGCCAAGTAGGAGAATGCTCTTGGCATCTTCTTCTGTATCTCTTAGATTTGGGACTAAACTCCGACTAGAAGACCTGTCAATCCCAAGGAAAAGCTGCGTGGGTGGGATATGACTCAAAGCCTCTGGGGGTTTCTAAACTATGAGGGTCTGATCCAGCTCCCACTGCAGCCAGTGGGAGACTTTCCATTGATTTAAATGGGATTATAATGAGACCTCATACCAGAACCAGAGCCTGGAGGCCTGTTGTTATTGGCAGTGACAGAGAAGGAGAACCCAGCTTGCCCTCAGAAGCAAAGATGTGGCTGCAAGGCCATGAGCTAAAAACACCATTTTGCTTGTAAATCTACCAGATTTGACATAGACATCTCCAAAGAGCAGCATGGATGAATATCAGAACACTTTCGTTTCAGCCCAGCAGAGGATTTCTGCCAACCATCATGAACACTGTTGTTTTTGTGGTCAATTGATGGGTCAGTTCTCTGATCCTGCCTTGCTTTGCACAGGGGGCTGGACCAGATGACCTCCAGAGTTCCCTTCCAGCCTAAATTATTCTGTGATTTGCAGTGTTGGTGAATCAAAGTTTTATCTGTTAAAGTCAACAGTATAGGTCCTTCTGACTTCAAAGAGACCACATGGTATATATTTAATATTTCATACTAGGTCTATTTGTCAAGGAAAGAAAAAGACATTACTGTCTTAAAGAAGTTTGACTTGACATATGTTTGACTATAACATATTGGGCTATTTGGGTAGCCTGTGGTTTTAGAAGTTTCTTGAGTGTCTCCCTGCAAGCTGAATCCAGTGCCTAGGTATTTTTCAGGGCTTTGGAAATAGTAGCTGATAGCTATCTAGATAGGGATTTTAATAGCTAAGATCCTACCCAGGTCTCCTTTTGGGTCTATAAATCAGGATATCAATCTGAGAACTACCAGGCTAACCCAAGCTGAGGCTACCCAAGGATGTACATGCTGCCAACAGCAGACAGGGGAGGGGGGAGGTAAGCCTGAAAGATGCTGTTTGAAGCACCTTATCTCCTCTGGTAGCTGGATTTGCTGCCCTTAGAAAGCCACCAGTGTCTCCAAAGAGATTGTTGGAGGTAGAGCCCATTTGGCATAGGGAGCTGGATGCACACTTTAATGCCATGTGGACTCCGTGGCTTGGACACCAAGGAGGGACACCAGCTCATCTGTTTTCCCCATCCTTCAGCTTTCCTTCCAGCCACACAAGAAACTCAAGATGACACCTCCAAAACACCACATTCATGCTCTCTGCTATGGCAGAGCATTGCTTGAGTAGTTATATTATCGCTAGGCAGGGATACTAAAGAGTGTCTAAAGCCCATACAAACACAGCTACATATGGCAGATGTAAGTGGGGAACGTGCCATGGCTCTGCACAACCTGATCATGCCTCCTGGCTGCTGACACGTGTTGAGTGCTCCAGCCTGGGCAGCAAAGCCCACTCCATCACAGAGTGAGTGTGTTAGGGAAACTCTTGGGCTGGCTCTAGTGCATCCATTAAAGCTTGGATAAGAAAATGAAAAAATCCCCCAAAGGCTCCCCTCCTGACCCCAAAACCATAGAAAATTAGTTGTTTGTCCTTCCAGGAGCACTGAAAAGCAAAGCAGTTACCAAACATCATGTGCTGGCTTGATTTTTCCCTTGTTACTTGGTCTGGCAGGGTTGCCAGACAGCCTGTACAAAAGCCAGCCCAAGTGTGACATCTGTTTTGAATCCACTTTGCCTGCACTTAATTAACTCTTTCTGTCTCTTTCCTGCCTTAATGTCCAGATCCCAAACCTCCGAGTGCACCTGTACCCCCTTCCTCAGCCAGCAGCCTGCCCTGGCCTGTGATCATCGGCATCCCTGCCGGAGCTGTCTTCATCTTTGGGACAATCCTCTTGTGGCTTTGCCAGACTAAGAAGAAACCCTGCTCCCCTCCAGCCGCTGCACCTGTGCACCGGTCGCAGCCCCGGGACAGGATCTGTGTCTCCCAAGTCCCCGACAAAGACTGCATCTCCTCCATAAACTATGAGGAATACGTTGCCCAACAGCAGCATTTACTGTCCCAAGGGCCTGCACTTGCCCCTGCCATGGCATCCAAAATGTACCCAAAGATTTACACGGACATCCACACCCATACCCACTCACATGTGGAAGGGAAAGTCCATCAGCACCAGCACATTCAGTACCAGTGCTAAGAGGGTGGCCGTGTACAGTAGCTCGTTTGGGCTTTTCCTCGTGGTACCTCAGAAGAGACTGCTCCAAGTCAGCTCACACTGCCAGCAATAGGCAAAGCAGACAGAAAAGATTATATATATAATTTTAAATATATATATACATATATATATAATTGTATATGCGTGTGTGTATGTGTGTATATATATATGTGTATATATCTATATCTATCTAAATATATATATAATAGAGAAAGACAAAAAGAGAAAAGAGATTTTTTTTGTTTTGTTTTTAATTATTGCAATCAGGATGTAGCCAAGGAATAATGAAGGAACTCCAGATCTCAGCAGAGAGGCAGCCATCTCCAACAGCGGAGCCTTCCCGGATCTCTTAACCGAGGTGGCAACAAGTGAGACAGGATACAGGGACATGAACAACCGCCTCCTTCCTTGTGTTGCTACAGGAGCAAGAAGAACAAGAGGTGACCATGGTGCTTCTCTGGATGGGCACTGCTGTTCCTGTGCCTGCTTCACATCACTTGTTTTGGTGGGAAGCCCCCAGACCTGTCCCACTCTGGATGACTGAGGTTTAGTGCCAAAGCACCAGGAGACATAACCAATTCACCTCTTCCAGGGCAAAAATATAACACAAGAGAGTCTGGAACATCTAATTTCTATTCACAATATGAAATGCTGAATGCTTCTCAGTCACGGTCATTTGGTCTGAAATACTAGCCAAGCTGATTGGCTTGGTATCTGCAAGGTGAAGGCATCATGATTCCCGTGTGGTGTTCTGCAGATCAAACCAGAATTGCTCCAATCCCCTGGTCCTAGGACTCAGTGCCACTGCCAGGAAAAAGGAAAGAAGGAAAGAGGAACATTGTACAGAACACCTTTATATTTATATTTAAGAAATAATAATAATTAATAATAATAATAACTGAACTGCTGATGGTGAAGAAAGCAAAACACACTGTCCTCTGATGGCTCACAATGACAAGCTACTGGATTTTCTATGTCAATGCAAAATACATGAGAACATTAGGAAAAAAAAAGTAAGAAAAGAAGAGAATGAAATAATAAGCTTGTAGGAAACAATGAATTTGAGAAATATTCACCTAGGTTGTGTGTGGTGGTCCCCTCCCCTCAGATAACAGTTTGCAAATGATACAGCTTCATTGCAGCTCAAACAACAGCAAAGACAGAAAGAAGAGAAAATAAATAAGGACCATATTAAATACCTATATAGACTGGAGATGAATCCAATTGCAAATATAAAACCTTTGTAATTCTATATAGAGTTTAAACAGAAGTCATGTATATTTAATTTATTTTGTTAAACAAGAAAAAAATGTATGATATTTTCCTCAAAACAGGCATTTCTATACATATTTTTGATCAAAAAAAATAAAGATTTTGTTTTTTCCAGGTTCTATAGATGGCATGCTCAGAATACGCTCGATGTAGCATGTGACCAACTGTACTTCTCCCAGCCTGGAGGGTCATCTATCTCTATGCTTTTTTACATTATCCATGTGCAATCTCCTAGCATCATCTCAGGTACCGCTGGTGCCATCCTTGCCATCTGACCTTTTCAACTGGTTATATTCTGCCTGTGAAGGTCTGCAGTGGCCAGATGACTTCTCATGGATCCCTTGTCATCTTCATTACAAAGTTTTCTGCTCACAGGGAAAGCTGTTTCACTATGCTTTTTTTTTTTTTGGGGGGGGGGGGGGGGGGGGGGGGGGGGGGGGGGGGGGGGGGTTGGGGAGGGGAAGGGAAGGAGATTGCATTAGTTTTTTAAGCACAAACCTTCAGTGGGGTTTCTTTTAAAAAGCAAATTCAGTAAATCAAAACGTAATAATTTGTGTGCCTGTAAAATGAACTTTGGCCTCAGGGTGCTTGGGAAGGGGGAAATATGAAATGCAAATGAAACACTTCATTTGTAAATGCAGCTGCTGAAGGAGCCAGTGGAGGGTGAGGTGAGTGCAATAAGAAGAGCGTGTGGGGAGCTGCTCACACCATCATTCTGCTGCATGCTACAGAGAGGCACCCAACTCTTTAGTGGCTAAAACGTTCTTTAGAGAAGGCAGGTTCAGCATTCACTTCATTGCATTTCACTTCAAGTTTGCTGGTAAAAAAAAAACCTGAAAAATTGAAATGTGCTAATTTTTAGGTTTGAAACTACTTCTCTCTCACAGCCTTTTCCACGAAAGAGATCCTTAACAAACCAGCTGCTCCGTTTAAAAGTGAAGCGCTCTATTTAACCTGAACCAAAACAGTGCTTTGCTTTTCGCTAAATGTTTCTGAAGGTATTTGCTCTGGGTTGACCTGCAGTGATTTTTCTGCTGGCTTGTTTGAATCAGCAGCAAACCAAACAGCTCCTTGTTTGCTCAGCCGCAGCGCTATGAGCTGGGGCCCTAACTCGGTGAAACATGTAAGCTTCTCTTTCACTTTACCAGTACATGGTGCTCCAAAAAGTCCCTTTTTTTGCCTTAGCCACCTGGATCAGTGGCTCCATCCCTGCCCACTGCACTGGTTCTGCCTGGAGCCACCCATAACTCTGGGAAAGGGGAAGAGAAGGAGGAAAAGAAGGAAAAGGAGGAGGCAGAATTAGAGGAGGAATACTTTCCTACTCACATGGAGTTTACCAACTGGCACTGTTGCAATACAGCACTGCATAGCACACTGCTGCTTTCCTGACTGCTGTAGTAGGAAATCCATGTTATAACCTCTACAGGAAGACCATCTTCAGGGATGATTTTCCTGTAGAGGTTATAATAAAGCAACTCGTTGCTATTTTTATTCATTTTGTTCTCAGCAGGAGGGTTCAGTTAAGCTTTGTTAACACAAATCTATGAAGTCCATAAAAGCTGAACTTTATGCATCCCCTCAGCTTTGGGGAGTCTCAAATGTGAGCACTGGAGGCTCTGTTTGGATACAAGACATGATTTAGGCAGGAGTTCTTAATGGTTCTAGCTTATTGAGTCATCTCATTGCAAAAAAAAGTAAAAAGCTTATACATTAAGTGCATCCCCTTTATTTTAAAAAGGCAGTAGGTGGATATTCCCATGAGAGACACTAAGGGTTACATCTCATGTCGTGCCTATGAGAAGCTACTTGCTGATCACAATACTTCTCAAGCTGCTGCACGTTTGAACAGCATTTGGGGCATGGCAGAGGGCAGGATTAACCTGTAAGCCCGTGGCCCTCCTCTGTTCTCTCTGCCATGCTGCAGAGAGAGGGCTCTTCTAACACATCCTGTCTTAGCAGTGCTGATACTAGCTTCAAAGGTGGAGGTAAACACTGGTTTTGTATGGTTCAGCCCTAAGAAAACCCTAAAACACTGTCTTATGGCACTTTTTTAGATGGCAGCTGTATCACTGACCCTCAGAGAGAGGGTTAGTGGGTTAAAAGAAGCAATCCTGCATTTCCTATGCAGCACAGTCTTCCATGCTGAGCATAATGCTCTCCACCAGTGCCTTCTACCCTTTGTGATCCAGCTCCATTGTGTTGTATCACAGAGCTAAAAACTTCATATATAACCAGATGGCTCGTGGATGGAGTGGTCTCTTCCTGCCTTTTAAAGCTCCTGCCTTTAGAGATAAATGTCTAATGATGCTGGTAGAGAGATCTCCAAAGGCAAACATTTCAGTAAACCACCCAGCATGAGCAATGGAACAGCCCAGCACAGCAGCAGCTCTCAACCATGGTTCTGGATGCGCTATATGAGGTGATATAAAGGTCTTGATTTGCAGAAAGCATGGGGTTTTCATCCTGCCTTGGATAACAACTCCCTCTTTAAGCACCTCCTCTTGGGCACCCAAAATGGTGTGAAATTTCCCCCTAGGAATATATCATCATATGCCCTGTTTAAGAGGAGCTGTATGTATTGTCTGGGCCTTGCACTGGCTTGCTGTACCTGAGTGGGATTTGTGTTACTGAGGAACTATTTTGCCTTCACTGGGTACCTGTAAGTGCTCTTAAGAGTCACTCTGTCCCATCCCATGCCCTACTGCATGCCATTTATTTTCAGGGCTTGATTGTGCCTTGCATGTACTGCAAAGTCTTCCTTCGTCTAAATAAATTCAGTCAGGTCCTGTTGGTGTTTAAATTTGTTTTTTCTTCAATGGGACAAGATTTGGACTCATCTTCACCCATGAACAGAGTGTGTTTACAGAAAAGCATGGTCTTGCTGTTAGCTACTGACCCTATTTTGAACACAGAAGTTTTATATGTACGCATATACATATAGATGTACACGCCAGGCTGTGATGTGGAAGGTGGTTATGCTTTTAAAGCCATGGGGCTTCAAAGATCAAAGGAATTTTAGGCTTAAAACTCACCTTCTTTGTTTATTCTATTTGCATTACAGATCAAACATGGCCTTCCAAGCCAATTTTTAAACCTTGTATGGACAATCTTTGCTCAGTCAGCCCCTTTCAAACTGAAAACTTTTATCAGGCATTGAAAATATAAAGGATTCTGTGGTTTTCAATTGGTGGCAAATACAGTAACTGAACACATCAAAATGAGACGGGATGGAAGAGCGTGTCGATGTCTGTGGCTGTGTAATAAAAACTGCAGAAAAAAAGGAATAAAAGCCTGGAATTGTGTTAATAGATGACAGAGTTCTGTAAAGTTACTGTGTTTTGAAGGGAAGGATGGCTCTGTGTGTGTGAAGGTGTGCATGTGATGTGTTAGCACACATCAGGAATACGTGTTGGCGAGGCACAGCTTGGTCTGCTGTTCTGTGAAGGTGCTATGGACCTACCAGAGGTACTACTGGAAAAGGCTTCTCTTTTTTTAGTGAAAAGGGACAATTTTTGATCACTTCCAGAGCTAAACGCAATAGTTGCACTAGAAGCCAAACTGCAATTAGTTTTGGGGTGCCTACAGTGGAGTAGGGATTTCAAGGTCGAGCCCGGCACCTTCAAGGCAAACATATGAGTGTCTCACTGCTCACTCCATAGGCAGCAAATGTCCAAGCTGGGACATTTTAAGATCAGAAAAGCTGGCCCTCACCCAAACTTCATCTTGACCTGACCTGGACCTCGGACCCAAAGAGCCTTGCACAGAAATTGCACACTTGGGGTGAGAAAGAGGAAATATTTCTCCCTGGCTTCATTTCTGTGGCTGTCTGAAACTCTTTAGACATGTGAAATATTGGAATAAAACCCCAGGGGGGATTTGGCGGTGAGCAAAAGCTAGGATGTGGTCAAAGGTTAATGGGGTATTTATCATGGCTTTCCCATTTGGGCATCACCCCTGTCTGCATGGGATATGCTGAGTGTATTCAGGACTCCAAATTATCCGAAGTCAATGATTATTCCACATACAGAGCCCGTTCCAGCTCTTGCAGAGGCCAGTGGGAAAAAATCCCTGTAATGTCCGTTGGGAAATCAATGGGATGCATGGAGTCATTGCAAGGTTTTTACATCTTTGCTCTGGCTGACCCGTTGGTAGAGAAAGATGTGGCAGGAGTTAGTGTCCAGAGTATGAAGCCAGATACATTTAAATGGGAAATACACACATTTTGGAAGGAGCTCTCAAAGGAAGGGGTAGACACTGCATCTTCCAAAATCTTCAAAACAAGGCTGGGTGCTTTGTGGACAGTGTGTTTCGCTTAGATGCAAGGCTTGGGGAATGTTATTAGGATAAAGGGATACATCTGGTCCAGATGGGGTCATGCAGTGGTCCCTTCTGCCCCTAAGTAATTGTAGTTAAGCTGCAGAGAGAAGGCGATGCAAGCACTGGTCCTGGCTGGAGCTGTATCTGTACACGTGCACCCCAGAGCTTACAGCAGCATTTGGCACATGGCAGCCCTGTTCAGGCTGCACACGCAGCTCCACTTGCTTCTAGACTGTAAGTAACTGCGTGATCTCAGCACTTCCCAGAGTATTAGTACAGTCGTGGTGTTATTTATACAAACTAGGGCTGTGCACCGACATTTACTGTGTCTGCAAGGAACCCCTTGTGTAAACAGCAGTGCAGCCTGTGTGTACACACAGCCCTCCTCCAGTAGCATTTCAGAAAATCCTGCTGGATTTGCTGCAGTTAGTGTCACAAAGGATTTACATGTGAATCTGAATGTTAACACATGCGCTTAATGGCCTGCTCAGTTGCATAAACTTGTTACTATAGGCGTAAGTATTCCCAAATTCCCTATTTGCCATGCATGAGAGGAAACCAGGATCCTGCCCTAGCCCTGAGATGGGCAAAGCTCCCCCCAGCACACTCATTCAGACATGAGGGGTTATATGTTGTGTTGTACAGTTTGGCCAAAGTGATCCTGCAGGTCTAAATGCATGGGAACCCAGGGGGTGCAAGACCCACAGAGAGAGCACTTGTGTGTGTTTGTGGATCATAGAATCACAGACTGGTTTGGGTTAGAAGGGACCTTAAAGCTCATCCAGTTCCAACCCCTGCCATGTGCA